TGAAAGACAGTGGCAACACTCCTCACTGCTCTGCTACTGTCTTTGTTGCCAATTTACCCTTTTCTTTCACCAATGCTTAGGTATAAATCTCTCTCTCTATATATATACACACACGCACATTTGTGAGTGTTTTTTTTTTTTTTCTTTTTACCACAGATGAAATGCTTATTCTTGCTGTCTTAAACTTGTTTATGTGAATAATTAAGCTTGAAGAAACATTCAGTGAGGTTGGACTGATGAGACGGTGCTTCATGGTCACCAAGAAGGGTATATTTTCGTAGATTATCGTTTTGAACTGACATAAAATATATTATCGTATTATTCATTACATTTACTATTTATATAAGTGTTTCTTTATGAGAACAATGCACTAACACTCTATACAAAATCAAATACATTATCATCAAATATAACATAATTGCTTTTATCATAAATTTTAGAAGCTAAATGTGGACTTCTTTTAATTATGTGTATATCAGGGTCTAATGAACACTGAGGCTCTGGCTTTGTTCAATTGTAATTGTATTTTCTTTGATTTCTTCACCCTTCTGTAAAATTTCGAGGAAATGCTGACACCTATGCTTGATTTATAATGCAAATTCAGTGCCGCCATTGAAGATTCTAAACGTGCAATTGAGCTTAAAAATGACTCGACCATTGGAGGTAGAAAAATTGGAGTGAAACATGCTATGCATCGTGCTCCTCTTGAGCAATGTCGAGCAAAACAAAATCAAGGTCATAGTTGCATTTTCTTTTTCTGAGTTTTCAACTTGATTTCACAGCATCTATTACTACATCTACCAGAGTTAAAGATGTCAATACATTCTTGAAGTTAATTTGATAGTATTGTTTTATGCCTTTTTCACTTGTAGTTCATGCTGAAGATTTTTTCGAGGCTGACAAAGATGTTTTAGCCATCAAGGTAGAAAAGCTTGAGAAGGCACCAAACTCTCATCTAAAAGGTATCAAACTTCGAGATAGCTAACATATTTTTTAAGTTTTGACTCAAGTTTACGATATGAGCTACTACATTCACCAGAAGGTAAAGATGTAAATTTGTTCTTGATGTTTATCTGATGTTATCTTGTTATGCCTTTTCCACTTGGTAGTTCATTTTGAAAATGTTATTGAGACAAAGAACGACAAGGACGTTTCAGCCACAAAGGTAGAAAAGCTTGAGAGGGCACCAAACTCTCAAGTAGAAGGTATCTAACTACAAAAGAGTTTACACGTGTCTTAAGACTACTGATATTCTTTTTCCAATTTTTCGTAATTAATATATGTTTCTGTTGATTTTAAACAGGTAAATCTATGAAGAAACGGAAAAGAACTATGATTTCGAGTAGTTTGCCTGATGAAGGGATTGGGTCAGAAAAACAAAGGTACCAGGTTATTGGCTTGATATTATCATATACACAGGAATGAAATGTTTGTTATTTCTCCTGTGATGAATTTTTATGCTAAATCGTGACATTTAGGTTGCACCAAATATTATCAATCATATTCTTCATCTCTTGAATTGTGGTTTGGCTTGTAATGATATATAGGGGGTATCAAAGTTGCCACGTCCATTTTTGCTTCTTAGATGTCCCCTTGAGATGTAAAGTAATTTCTTTTTTATTTACATTTTTGTCATTTCTTGATTATACTATTCTTTTGCTAGCTCCCTTTTCTTTTATAGTTTTAATTTCAGATTGAATGATATGTCCACATCAATCTCGTTAATACTTAGTAGAATATATCTATTGGCTTATGTAAGACTATGTATATCAGTAAATCTAAATTAACAACTAAATAAAATCTATACCGGGATGTCTCTTAGTAATGGCTGCTCGCGTCCTGTTCCCAATCTTATCAGCTTAGGAACTGGTATCAGTAGTGAAGTCATTATACAGCACCTGATTCGATAAGCAATAACCTCAAAGTTGGATTAGTAACCTAAGTCTGTTTAAAAACTGGCTAGCTTTGTCTGAGGAACTTTTTTCGACTTATATTTTCTACAAAGAAGGATTTTCAACCCTTCAACTTGGTAACTTCTATATAAATATGCTTTCCAGTTCTAATCCTGAAGTATGATTTTCTAGATTTGTAGTTATATATTTTAAATTTATAATATTATTTGCTTATAATTAATTTCTTGTTAAGCATATCTAACATGAAGTTCTCTTCATGCTAAATAGGGTTGCTAAGACAGTCATATTTGGTGGTCTTCTTAATGCTAATGTGGTAAAGGAAGTACACCGTCAAGCAAGGGACTGTTCTGTCACCTACCCTCTTCCCAGAGAAGTGCTTCAGCATCATGGTAACTACATTTATATGTTGCAGCTCCTACTTTACGTAAACAAGTTTATTTTGTCTCGTCGTGAGTAACCTTCCGCACCCACTGAATGAACTTCCGCACGCACTGAATGAACGTAGAAAATGGATCCTTAAGCTAGTCTAGCTTCTGGAGTTAGAGCTGAGTGAGCCCTTACAGAGCCACGGCCTTGGACGTCACTTCTTCATTTATCTGCTTTTTTGAGGCCAGAGTTAAGCTATATATGTTGAACAGATTCAAAATAAAAAATCATCAAACACGATTGAAAAACATGAAAAAATCGCAGCATATCCTTTTATGTTTTGTGTGTAACAGATAAATGGCTTCAATGCTTCTTGTAGTCTAAATCCTAACATGTAACAATTCTATCACATTCTATTTTGTCCCACTTATCCATATTGACAATATCCTTATCTACAGGTCTTTATTTGGTATAATCTGACATGTATATGAACCTTACTTTCTAAGGTCTGCTTCATGGTCCATTCGTATATTTAAGTTCTAGTCGTCTCACCATTGTCCATTTTACTCGTCAAAAGTTTGATAATATCCTCATAACATTCTCCATTTATGTAGAAGGCTTTCTAATTTCTTGCTCAGACATCTCTTTGATTGATCTTTTATTAAGGATTCTACTTAAAGCATCACCCTCTCTTGACCAGTATATGTTAATGCCGTAGGGAGCGAACTGTAGAAGAATGTAGGTGGCAATAGTTAACATAGTAACAATTAGTTGTCAAGAAGGTGATGCTTGAACTGAATTATCAATAAGAGTGAAAATGTGATAGGATACCAACTGGAAATCAGATGAATAAGCTAATGAGATAACAACTTTTGATCGAATAATAAGAAAATTACAGAAATTAGATGACAAAGGCCTATTGAAGGCCGTAGCCGAGAACCACTCTACTACCCTCAAATATTGCTTGCCTATTACTCTCCTGACCTCTCTTATTTATAGGCTCTCCTAATTGAAAGTTGTTACCCCCTATTCCTCCAAAACAGAATTTAGTTATCCCTTTCTCCCCTCCACTTGCGAGATTCTCTTCTTCTGGGTCCTTCTAGAACCGGTGAGGTGGATAGGAGCCTACCAAAATGGTGTTACAGAAATTAAATTTTGTATAACTTATTGCGCCTTGTGTTCCTTTCATCTCCTCTTCTCCAAATACAGTAGTTTGAAAATTTTCAACTCCCTTACCTCTTAAAGTTAATAGAACCTTAAGATTTTAGTTGCCTTCAATTTGGGCATTGAGCTTTTTCCCTGAAATTACTTTTAAATTTGTGTGTATGAAGCTTCCAAGTAAAGGTTGATCATTGAGGAGGAGCAGGAGGGGATAAAAATATGGTATTATCGATGATTTAAAAGACATGCATAGTTTTATTATTTGAATCTACGCAT